AAAATGTCCGTGAAAGCTGTTGCTGCCAACCCCCTTTCTTGGCAATATTTTTTGCTGCTTTCCACCTTTCACGTGCTTGTGCAGTTTCTCGTGCATGTCTTGCGGCTGCTTCTCTGGATTTAGCCTGTCTTCTTTCCCGAGTACTAAGTACTTGATCAGAGCAATTATAAATAATGAGCAGCAGAAGACTCATTCCAACCTACTTATGCAACAGAAAGTGCAAAAGTCAACTGGTTGAAACTAGAGCAACAAGAAAGCTAAAATAGATCAAATGGAGAGAAAAAAAAAAACACAATTTAATTTTGCATAAGCATGCTGAAGAAATCCTTCAGTGGACATAAGCTTAATGGGGAATGCTTGAAAGAGTTATCGAAAATGCATATAAATTGAAAGACATGGCAGATGAGCAACCCTGTATTCCAATTAATGAGGCACAGAGGCCAGCTCAATGATAATAATCAAATTATTGGTCTATGACAAGTTTGTAAACCACTTACAAAAAGCATGATTCCATAACCGTGAATATCCTGGTTCGAAGTATTTGGATTGCAGGTAGTTAACTTGAAGCAAGCTGCAAATTATTCATAAAAATCCCATAAAAGAAGACATTCATTCTTTTTGAATGAACTAAGAGCATTGAGAAAACTTTGCTGCATATGCAGCAATGGTAAATAAGACACCTTAAGAGCAAGAAAAGATTGACTGAATAACGGTATGCAGTTACAAATAATTATGTTAGTTCATCATATCATATATTTGCAACAAATATTCCATCATGTGATTCAAACAATCTACTTTCGAGCTACTTTCACTCAATGGGATTTCACACTTAAAACATTTCGATATTTTCACTCAGGCTGCATGAACAGTGTTTGCATGCATTGAATTTAAATTTGAATACATTGGATGTAATACACAGAGACCAATTAAGCCAGTGCATCTAATCCTTTTTATTATAATTTTGGTGAACTTTGTCAACTAGTCAAAATGGATTGTTAAATTTTATCTGTTAGTGTTCCATAAATTCTTCTTCCTAATAACCCTGAGAGTTCTATAGCATTAAGCTATATGTATTGCAAGCTTTGAAAGGAAATATGAACAAAGAGGAATTCAAAGCAAGCTTTGAGGAAATCAAACTGATAAAAGAAAACTTACGCAGTTGAGAAGTGGAACCCATTCTGCAGTAATGTCTGAAATATCATCAAAGAACTTATCAGTAAACATAAATTCCTAGCATGGAGTACTTGCACAATATCATCAAATCATGTATATGGTATCCTGAGATATATTACAGGTTCTGCAAACAATTATGTTGATGCTAAGAGTTATGGGATAAAAATCAATACCCACTACTGCAAGTAACTCTATCTATGGTAGAAGGGCAGTATGATCCTGGTGAACAGAAAATCTCACTACTACTTGTAACATCAGCCCACATATCAGCGCCACCACAACTGTGATTCGGCTGTCCAGGAGGAATTTGGTAATTATATCTGCAAATTTTCTCTACCAATAAATATTAATGGCTATTGTACACAATAAGAAACTGAGAACAGAAGAAAAGAAAATTTTGCAATCTAGGATATGAACTTACGGGTCACAAACTCCAGATGATGTATTCAGCTTTGCAAGTGGACAATAAGAACCTAAAGGGCATGCTTCATTTTGCAAGAACATGAAAGACAATAAATGTATTTCATTCAGTTCCATTTCTATCAATAAAATAATTCCATAGTTTGAAATTTCCACCAGTAATTATTATCTTTATCATAGAATTCCATTGCCTTTCAAATATGAACTAATTACATGACCTTAAATTACTTCAAGATGAAAGGAAAATAGATTCCTTTGGATCAAGCTTGGTTTTTCTTTTCAACAAACAAATAGATTCATACCAAAAAGTTAATACTAGCATCAGGGTATACTTATCCACATAACAAAACTTGAAGGTATGAATATTTATGCTACACCATCCATATCCTCTCAATTGTTGAATGTAAAAGGAATCCTACCCATACTCTTTGATTTATCATGGATTTACCACATAAGATTTGCTCAGCGATGAAAGATGTATCATTAAACAAACTATAAACCAAATCTTGCATTACAGATTGCAATGTTACCGCAAAGAATTTCACCAAATTATTGCTGAAATGGGTTTATGAATCTATGAAATATCATGATTCAACTATCATTAGGAGTTCTACATCTTTTTCCTGTGGTTATTGACTCTACACAGACAGGAAATAGTTTGTGTCGCACCTCTGCCAATGCAATAAGATATGGCCAACTTGGTAACCCACCCCATACATCCATATGCCTTTTCCATCACTATTTTGCCATGCTGTGAAATCAGTCAAGACCACATTATGTAGATATTTAGCTCTGCTATTTTTAAAAAATAGTCTTTCCATTACCTAAGCCACTTATTTTGTACAATTAAAGTGTGCAAACTTCTTTTCTAACAGAGAAAAAATGAATAGAGCAGGATTTCCTTTTGCACTTTGTGATTACCACCAGAGAAAACAGAAAGCAATCAACCACACAGAGTAGAAGAAAGAGAAGAACCAATTATGTGCCTAAAAATTGTAATTGATTTATTATAAAGTACGTACCTATCATGCAAGCAAGACCCCTAGGGCAAAAGAATCCTTCACAACATGGTTGACAGTTTTGAGTCCTGGTTGGCATGTAAGTTGAATTTTTGAGTTCAAAACGCTGGTTTTGGTCAGCATAGCAACCCCATCCCGGTTCACATCCAGAGACCCAAGTTGTCAAATTGCAGTTCTTGTTAGGTTTTACATAATTGATAGTTTCAGTCCCCTTTGCAAATAAACTACTGAAGTAAAATTTTATTTCTGCTGCTGTACATAGTCGATGGGTGAGATCTCCTGTTAAATTATACCACATTCATCATCAGGTCCTTGGTGACAAATATGATAATACATTGGAAGAATGGAAAAAAAACTACAACAGAAAAACTTGAATAATGGTAGATACTGCCATCAGATGGCTCAGACTATTAATTTTATCACCCATTTACTTCATTTATCACTTTTAAGTTTGCTGAATTCATCAAACTGATGCCTAAATTGCCCAAACCATTTCATGCCAACAGTAGAATTGAAAAAAAGACAAAAGTATCATCTGATTTATCTCATTTACAATAATAGAGTTATTATTTAACAGCATCTCCTCGTGCTATTGGTGTGCTTGAGTCATGGTCTTCTTGTTTTTATTTTTCAAATTTCCTCAATTTATAGAAGTTTAAAAAAAAATCCTCTTATTCCTTAGGATAATGCAAGTATCAATTATGAGTACATATTAAATCACAATTTTTCAGTAGACATAAAAGCAAAAATTCTGAATCATCAGGGATGTCACCAGTTCGAATAAATATACCATTTGAATTGGCTAAAGATTCATACCTTTTGTCTTCTTGACACAATTAGTCAAGAAATTAAAATTTCTAGAAAAATTAAAAGCTCCATTCCAGTCAGCTTTCCTGAAAAGGAAGAACATGCATTCACCAGTTACAAAAATTCCTCTAGGAATAAAAAAAAAAAATGAAGAGTGACGTGCATGATACAGAGAGAAAACAGCAGAAAATTTTAAATTACTTACGCATTCTTTATGCAGAAGCCCAAATTATGACTAACATCATTGCTTAATGTAACAGTAAGATTCGAAAGCCTTCTATAGATAAGGTCCGTTACAAGGGGAAGATAGGCAGGGTTTTTCGTTTGACTGTAATCATCCCCATCCACAGAGAGTGCAAAAGGAAACAAACTTAAAACAACAAGAAGAAAAAGCAAAGTATGGGGTCTAACTTCTCTCATGATGATCAGCTGAAGCTCTAGAACTCACAAATCCTAGGAAAAACATAAAAAAACTAACTATAATTGCATTCTGTGAATTAACCATGGCGTCATCACTGTTAAGCTGCCTTAATCTTTCATGGTCCTGAGTTTTTATCCAACTTTCAAATAAAACAAGACCATGAACATTCATGGGCCAAAACCAAAAAATAAAAATAAAAACTTGGAAATGGGGTAGTTGAAATTTTGCAGACCAACTATGAATTGACGACAGGGAAGATTAGAGAGCTGTAGACCCTTGAGAGAAAAACAAAAGATTTTTCGGTCAAAAGGGTTGAGTGAATGTGTCTTTGGCTTTGGAAGGAGGCCCTTGGTTTTGGGATGAAGAAATGGCGGGGAGAAATGGGTGGCTACATTGAAGGTGAAACTATGTGCGCTGTGCATGGCTCGCGAAATAACTAACACTTCCTAAGTGTACGTTTCACGTTTGCAGTTAACAGATCATTTACAACTTACATCAAACGGTTAATCTGCTAAGCCAATTTAAACATACCTTTACCTTTCCTCGTTAAAGACACAGACACTGTACCAAGGACAAGGAGGCTTGGATTCAACTCAACTCAACAGTAGAGGTTCATTTAATCTCGGCACGCCACCAAGTGATATTTGTGAACCACGGATCTTGTTTTGATTTTCCAACTAAACAACCTCTGTACCCAATTGTTTTAACCCAAAGAACTTAACACTAGTAACAACAACAGTGACTTTACGGATCAATGTTTCGATGTTGCTGCGCCATGTTGGCCCTTTCAATCTCCTGTGCCCCAGCACAACTGAAAAACATTGGATGTCAGATAGTAACAATTAGTGACAACTAGCAAGGTATATAGCTTAAAAATAGTATATATTATATCACTACATCCTAAAAGTGTTGAACTTTAAATAATTCAGAAACAAGTCTAAATATTTATGGTGTTTATATCAACATTTTTGGGTAAAGATTAAATATTTATGGATGTTGCAAATATCCGCAGCAATGGGGTTCATCCATTCAATCATAAAAGGATGTAAAAGGGTGTAAACAAAGAGATAATGTACTTAATGGTTCCAACGATTCGTATTTCAGACCACCTTGACTTTGGAGGACTCCACATCCATCGTGAGCATCACGGAACAAGACTTTTCTACTCTCCTTAATAAACGCTAAAGCAGCACACTCTTTTCTGTCTGTTGTTTTGTCTCTCATTTTCAAAGTACCCGTTCACACATAATTAGCATCTCTTCAAAAAATTGAAGTAGATTTATGTTCTTATTCATTGTTATGCAGCATATCCTTTTGTGCTTTTTTTTCTCCTTTTTTACTAAAATTTTGGTTGGTGAGATGACTTGTTGCCCCAGCTGGTGAGCTGCCGTGTTCAGACTTCCTCTTTACAGTTGAACACTGTTCATCAAAATTCCAAGCATTTTGAGGTCTTTTGGGGGCACTGGACTAATGGGTTTCTCTTAAAATTCGTTAAGAATTTTGAAGCTAATTCAAGTTGAGTAGCCATATTTCTGCATTTCCATCCAAGAAAATTAAAGGTAAGCTTAAGACAATTTTCGTCGTTTTTGGCTTATAATCAGATTTTGGCTTTTAGAAATAATTTTGTTATGAAATAAGGGGCGGGAATTTGTGGGTTTTGCTTTTGTGTTCTTGACTTGTGGATTGTGATCCAAGAAGGCAGTTTTTGGAAACTGGGTTGCTCAGAAAATTGATGATATCTGTAAAACTAAGATGTTGGATTCCTTGGAGTGATTAGTAGAATTTAGTACCTTTTTGCTTTCTTTTGCCTTTTCACTGTGTATGATATAGTTTTGGAAACGATAGGTTCTAAATTAATTTGTTTAATCCAGTTGGCTGTAAACTCTTGCATTTTCATTTCTTCACCATGACTTAAAATGTGAATTTGAGCTTTCCTTGGAATTTGTTGCTCATGGTATGTTTTTTTCTTATTGGCATGCAAAGATATTAACTTTGACTTCCCTGGTCTTTTAACTTATAGCGTCATAATATTCCTGCAGAAACAAGCTTTCTACTAATATATAGCTCTTGACTTTGCAGGTGTTGTAGGTAGTCTTTGTTTTGCTTCATCATATCTTCTTATCTCTTTCTTCGGATCTGGATCTGTACTGTGGAATTTACTGTGTTTCAATTCTTTGAGAGCTATGAAGTGTTTTATATTCCCCAGTTGGGATAAAAAAGATGAATCAAAGACCCCCAAATCAATTTCAACTCGGTCTATGAATTCTATATTCACTGATCGTGAAATAGGGCGATCTGGGTCTGAATTAAACTCTCAGAATGTCTCAGGAGTCAGCAATGAGTCCATGGGGAGGTCCTCTTTTCCTAGCATGTCTCAGAGACCTAGCAATCTAAGAGTGTTCACAGTTTCTGAACTTAAATCTGCCACCAGGAACTTTAGCCGCTCTGTCGTGATTGGAGAGGGTGGATTTGGTTGTGTGTACAAGGGGTTTCTCAAGAGTCCTGATGATTCATGTCAAAAGATTGAAGTAGCAGTAAAACAGCTCGGTAAAAGGGGGTTGCAGGCAAGGCTTCTTGACATGTCAACATATTGAAATTTTCTCTTCTGAATTAAGTTACCTTCTTTCATTTATCTTTTTAAAAAGTCATAGGTAAAGATCATTGATATTCTCAGTTGTTGTAATGGAGAACATTTTGATATCATATGCATATTCATGTGTCTGGATCCTATGCAAAATTAGGTTCCATCCAAGTCATTTATACTATAGTGATCTTGCATATTCACAAAAATCTGCATGGTTTATTTAAATCTATATGAATTAAATTTGCTGGCCTGGAACATTCTAGTAACAAAATTTAGCGGAAATAAATTCTCTAACAAGTATCAGGTGGAGCTGGAAGTTTTAATCACTCAATGAATTTGACTAAGTTCAAATAAAAACTGATACAGTTTTTTGGTAATGATATTACACAAAGATTAGGAAAAGTGTATATTTCTCCAGAAATCCTGTTTGAATTTGCTCTGCTGTTGGTGATGCTGCATATGGATGTTCTTGTTCCCCTTCTGTTGGCTCTATCTAATGCTTATGATGCTTAAATGCAAAATACTGAAATAAGATGGCTCCTGTGACTTTTCAAATAATAATAAAAAAAAAGATGTCTTCTGTGACATTGAGCTGAGAACTAACTTTTATAACCTTGGCATCCCCACTATTAATCAATAGGGGCACAAGGAGTGGGTGACAGAAGTGAATGTCCTTGGGGTGGTTGAGCATCCAAATCTTGTAAAGCTACTGGGCTACTGTGCTGAAGATGATGAAAGAGGTATCCAAAGGCTTTTGATATATGAGTATATGCCCAATGGAAGTGTGGAAAACTATTTATCTGTTCGGTCAGAGTCAACTCTTTCCTGGGAAATGAGATTGAAAATAGCCCAAGATGCTGCTCGTGGCTTAGCATACCTACATGAAGGAATGGATTTCCAGGTATAATGCTACAATTAAGTTTCCATTTCAGATATAAATTGCTTTTCCACCTGTTTCTTTCCAATGCACTGAGCTTTTGCATGATATTTTGTGTATTTTACATATTTTCTTCTCCTACATTATTCTTTTCTTTCCACTAAAATTCCCTTCCAAGGGAAAAAAAGGATTAAGGGGAACCGGAGTTGAGGTTCTAAGCTCATTGTTGGTACAACCAGTAATTATTAAATTTTTTTCAGATTATTTTGGATGATACTTATCTAGGTTTTCTTTATCATATTTGACTACAGATCATCTTCAGGGATTTTAAGTCTTCTAATATCCTTCTGGATGAGCAATGGAATGCCAAGCTATCAGACTTTGGATTAGCCAGATTGGGCCCGTCAGAAGGATTAACTCATGTCTCAACAGCGGTATGTTCAGGCTATTTGACCAACCTATTACTTGAAGCTATCCCTTTAGTCACAGCTCATCTTTATTCCTCTAGTAATGTAAACCAAGGTTCACATGGTAGTGGAATTTTCTTATCTTCTTTAGTAGGTATCTTACTGGTAAAAACCTCCAAAAGTTTCTAAGTCTCATGACCCAAATGTCCAAATAGGTCCTTGATGTCATTGACCCAAATGTCTTTTTGATCAATGATTCATTTCAATGTAATTATTCTATTCATGCTGTTGGATTTGCCTTGAAAAGATATTTGAAACAAATGGACAGCTTAAACCTTGTAGGATTGTGGAACTTGCCCTTAGGTTCTCAATGAAAACTCTACAATGTTTATTCAAATTATATAAGAAAGAAATGGTTTTTGTTTCTTGTTAGGTGTTTAAAATTCAGTTTATGCAGTGAAAATTGATTGTTATAGAGTCAAGAGTAACATTTCCCCTATCTACTTATCAACCTATTTACAAGCATCAAACTGGTGATCTCCAGGTCGTTGGAACAATGGGATATGCTGCTCCTGAATACATCCAGACCGGACGTCTCACATCCAAGATTGATGTGTGGAGCTATGGGGTCTTCCTCTACGAACTCATTACTGGTAGGCGCCCTTTAGACAAAAACCGCCCAAAGAATGAGCAAAAGCTCTTGGAATGGGTAAAGCCATACCTATCTGATGCGAAGAAATTCCAGTTTATATTGGACCCAAGACTGAAAGGTAAATGCCAACTCAAGTCTGCCCAAAGGCTTGCAATTGTGGCCAACCGATGCTTAGTCAGAAATCCAAAGTCACGCCCTAAGATGAGTGAGGTGTTAGAAATGGTGAATCGGGTTGTAGAGGCATCAGCAGGATCGGGAAGTCCTGAACCACTATTGAAGACTTTGCCATCTGTGGAAACCTCCAGGGAAGCTGGAAGAAAACATAAAAGAAGGATTATAGATTTCAGAAGTGGTGAAAAGTTTGTGTGGCCGTGGACTCCAAAGATTGTAAGAACATGTTAACAGCAGTGACGTCAAGGTTTAAGCGAACCAGACCTGCAGCCATCTCAGGTGGTTAGATATAACTCGAACAAACCTCACAGAGCTTTGAAGGGTTTTTAGCATGATCTTGACTGAGCAATGCAATCAAATTTCCCACACAAATTATACATAGGGAATATTGTCATGAAATTTTCTCCTTTGTCAATATGTATAAAGCTACTCTCTGATCATAGATGTGAAAACCTTCAGATACTGCAACTTCTGATGGGAACCATTGAACATTCTCATTTTGGTAACAAGAGGCTATTAATGGTGCTCAGAGGAAGATGCTTATAGATGTAGAATTTGGGTGTTGTACCTGAAAATGGATTGAGTGGTTCTTTTTACCCTTTTTTTTTCTTTTTTTTCTTCTTGGATTTTATGATGTCATTTCCTCCATTTAGGATCACCATCCCATGCAAGCTTTCTGAAAATAACATAATATATTTGGTTTTTCCTATCTTTGTTGACACTTGACAAGATTCAATGGTGCATGCCTTTTCATAGCATGTTAAGGGCCTCCATATCATATGTTAGAAAATTGGATTAACCCTTTTGTCTCATTAAAAGTAACCCTTGGCTATGTGTACAAAACAGAATGTCATATTAAAATCATAATCAAACAGACATTTTGAATTTCATGAAATAAAATTGATCTCAGCCATGAATATGTTCCTTAGTAGTACCACAATGTCTATGTCACTGCCACGTGCACTGTTTTTTGGACAATAACAAATCTTTGGACGGTCATTAGTCATTTGCTGCCACGTGTTTGTTGCGGCCTTTGGCCCACCATCAATTTCAGGGCCGCCCTGCGTACCCTATAAAAATCTTGATCGAAAATTAAATAAATAATAAATCTTTTTGGTGGCGGCAAATTTTTAATTCTATTAAATAAAAAATACCATGAAGCATAATTTAAATTTTTTTAAAAAATTAATGGAGTATAATTGCTGCAATTTTTTTGCATCCGTTAAATTTTATTAAATTAAATGCAAATGGCGACTTGGACTGTTTGGTCCATATTGGTCGCTAATTGAATTCTCGGATGATGGCGGATTTATTAAAATTTATTTTCAAGGTAAAGGTCAGAACCGTCATTTTCACAGCACCCAATCAGGACCAAAATCACGCAATCTCAGCCGTGGATCTCGTAATCTGCCGTTTAGTAAAAGAATAGCAACGCTTCATATTTCATACTCTGTAAGTCAAACAAAATTATTCGAAGAATCATTTAATAAAGATTTTTACAAAATGCCGCTTAAAATCAAAAGAAAATCATGTCCGCTCGAATTTCGGATCCAACGGTTCAAAAGGCCGTCCGTGTTGAATCTGGTAGGGGCTTGCTTGTCGTTTTGACGTCCGCGGGAAACATTTTACATATAAATGCGTGAAATAAGGGTAGTCTCTTTTTTTGTAAATTTTTTTGGGTTTCAAAAAGTTTCAACGTTTTGATCGTTATCTTATGTCACTCGTGTACTCCATTAAAGCACAATAGTTCCTTGTTTGCTTTTCTGTCTTGCTTTTTTTTTTTTTTTCTGTTGGAACCTAGGTTTCGAACTTTCTGGGTTTGGTGAGTACTTTAAATTCCATATGTTTTTGGGTTTTTTTTTTTTAAAAAAATTCGTTTGATTGAATTGGACTTGGAATGATCATATATTTCTGGGGTTTGATTGATAAATTTTATCTTCTTTTTTCAAATTCTGGGTCCTTCTTGTTTGTCATTTTTGAGGTTGCTTGATGCTAAAGTTTGGCCTTTTCATTGAATCTTTGTAGGTGTTTCTTTGTTTGATAGGATATATCAAGTTTTTGGTTTGAATTAATGTGTTCTTTTTTTATGGAAATTTAGCTTCTTTGATTTGTGATTTCCATGTTCTTTGTATTGGTTATTACTAAGAACTAATTTATGTGGAGAAACGTAAGTTATGTCTCTGCATGGAAAAGAGAGTTTTTAAACAATTAACAGAGGTTTTAGCCATTAAATTTTCTTTGTTTATGGGGAAATAAAAGCTATGTGGAGAATATGTTACAATTGAATTTAGATCATAGGGGTAAATAAAGAAATTAAGTTTATATAATTTGACTGTTGGTAATTGAAGTTTTCATTTAGTTGGTTTTAGGATATAATAGAAATGATTCTTCGAGTACATTTAGATCTAACACAATCTTATTCTGTGTCAGGATGGAAATTTAGCATCTTCTTTTTTTTTTTTTATTGATAAAGTTGATTCCAATTTAGGGTTTTGTCAGAAAAGATGGTACCTTTTTCTCAACTCTTTTTGGGCTTCTTTTTAAGCAAGGTGATCTGGATTCTTAACTTATAAGAAATGGTGCTCACTTTCGGAAGGATATTGCTGGAGCAATTGTCCTTAGATTGAATAAAGTAAATTGATAATTCATCATTTGTTTATTTAGAAAACTTTTTAACTTTTTAGAACAAATTTGAATCTATTTTAACTAGTTTTTAGTTTTTTCAAGGTTTTATTTTGACACACTTGGACAGAGTAGCACACCTTTAATACAAACAGCAATTAATTTCATTTTCATTGTTAATATGAAATAGTTCCATATGCTGGTTCTGTATGGATAATTGATTTTGAAATAGCTTGAAAAATCTGGAACAACTTATATATCAACTGGTCAATTTCAAGGAAGGAATAATTTTTTATTTTCCGTCGTTTTAATAGGATAGTGAACTAACCTCCTCTAGCAAGTATATATTGCTGCAGTATCTTAATTTGATGCTTGAAGCAGAGCCTTTTGTTTTTCAGGGTAATTGCAGTTTTATGACTTGTTTCTTCATGCATGAATATAGATATTCAAATGCTTTTTTATGTGTGAATGAAAATCTAATTGAGAATTGTTTGTACAGATTGCCAAGTGTTCACTGAGATGATTTAGTGGAAAATATGCTTGAAGTCGATGATTATGTATCAACAAGATTCAGATATCGTGCATTGGTTTCTGGGCTGTGACCCGTTTTATCATTCTGCATATAATAGTGACATAAGACAACATGATGCTGGTGACACATATCATCATGCACATTATTTTAGAGATCATACTGATACACAAAGCACCCAGATAGAGAATGATGAGGTTATTGCCCGTACCCTTCAGGAAGAATTCTCACATCTAGCGGTGTCAGAAGCTTCTCAATCTTTTCATTCTGGAGAACAGCAGTTGCAATCTTACAGTGAACCTCATGATTGGCATAGTTCATCAACAGGGGACTATTATTATTCAGGTGCACAGAATGTTTTCCTTGCATTTGTATTTCACTTCCATGGTATATTTCTGCTTATTATTATTTAGATTCTATTTTGCCACAATGCGCAGGCTATGAATATGCCCAGGATGGATCTGGTGATTTGGTGCCACTTAGTTCATGCTCTAGCCCCAGTGATTCAGAGGATTTTTCCTGCTCTCTGGAGCTGACTGATGGTTATTTACTAGATGATGATGAAGTAGGCAAGAGGTTGAATCAAATGATTCCTATTCCTGTAAGTTTACCTTATAAAAATGTCGTCATTTTATATCCAATTATCCATATTTGTTATCCTCTTATTTGGAGTTAAAATTGTTAGTTGATTCATACGAGCCATTTTCTTCTGATACATTTAAATCTGTTCTGTGCAGCATGTCCCTAGAATCAACGGAGAAATACCATCAATTGATGAAGCAATGTCAGATCATGAAAGGTTGTTGAACAGGTATTAATCGTATGTGGATAAGAAGTGTATCAAGGATTTTCCGTTTTTTTTTTTATTTTTTGGGAGGGAGGGGGTTGTTGGCTGGCTTGCTGATTTGGTTAAATCAGCTAAGCAAGGTTGATGCTAGATTTTTTTTTTTCCTAAATAGATTGCAGACATATGGTTTTGTTGAGCTCAAGGTTCAAGGAGACGGTAACTGTCAGGTTTTTCTTATAATCTATCCCCATATTGAGTCATTTAGGCTTGGTAATTATCTCAGTTTGTGGTTTGACCTGTGCATTTCTGGAATAATATTTGTGGTCAATTTTTCCTTTCCAGTTCCGTGCACTGTCAGATCAGTTATATCACACACCTGATAATCACAAATATGTGAGACGACAAGTTGTGAATCAGGTTTGTTGTCCTGAATTCAATTTTTGCTGTCTTAACATAAAAGTTGTTTATCAAGGCATATAAATTGATCCTGATGTAGCTTTTACTGTAATGGCTTGTTTTGCCAGCTTAAATCTCACCCAGAGACATATGAAGGATATGTTCCCATGGAATATGCTGACTATTTGAAGAAGATGTCAAAGTAATACTTAAATTATCTACTTTTCTTGTTTATGCTCATTCAAGCTTTTGGTCAAAGAATGGCCATGTTAATACCCTTTACGAATGGTACCAGGAGTGGCGAGTGGGGTGATCATGTTACATTGCAGGCGGCTGCAGACTCGGTATGTGTTTAAATTTATAATTAGTGAACACCTTCCTTTTGATAGAAAATTGGGTTGTGACTGAAAAATTTTAGTTTTATTAATTTACCTTTTGACTTAGCAAAACAAAATTTACCAATTTACCATAAATTTTATATGCAACTAGTTGTTGCCTTCTGTTTCATTTATCAGTTCTTTTCTTGTATTGGATGTCCCCTAATTTTACACCTACATGTTTTAGTATATATTCTCATTGCCTGAATTTAATTCTAAGAATATTTTCATTCACTTTCTGAACAAACAAAGAAATAAAGTGCGAATATCATGATACATGTGTTTTAGCTATGTGGCAGAGTTCTGTCTCCTCCAACCCCCAATGTGCTGCAGCTCTCACCCTCTTTTTCTTTCATTTGCGTACGATTGGGTATCCATGCATTTTTAATGTCTAATACTAGCAACATTCCTTTTTTGCAGTATGGCGTAAGAATTTTTGTTATAACTTCCTTTAAGGACACTTGTTACATTGAGATTCTTCCTAACTTTCAGAAGTCAAAAGGAGGTAAAATTTCAGTCCTTTTGCTTCTGCTGCAAGCCTACATCTTCTTTGATTTTCTTCTGGTTGTGTTTTGGAGATTTGTTATTTCATATAAAACTAAGATAATTATCTTTTGTCGTCCAATGAAAGCCTCAAGGTAAATACCTTTTATTGTTAATTTCTTTGTAAAGTATAGTTTGCTTTTGTATCCATCTGCACTTTTTGTGAAAGAAGCAAAAAACACAAGTAGAGATATAACAACATCGAAGCTTTTTTTCTTTTTTACTTTGCTCTCGTATATGCTAAGCCTTTTGAGATGTTGTGTGTTCTAATACAGTCATTTTCTTGAGTTTTTGGGCCGAAGTTCACTACAACTCAATCTACTTACAAGGAGGTGACTATATTACATTTTCCTCTTTTTTTTAAGCTTGCACTGAATAATTTATATTTTATTTGAGCACAAATAGTAGTAGCAGAAATATTCTCAAAGTCCTGGTCACTGAGCAGCAAAAAGAGCTAATTTTATTGACTTATTCTTTCAAATACAAGGGAGAATGCTTAGCTAAGCTTCTCGCGGTATGTGAACCGAGGTTTCGGACCTATTTGGTTGTGTGAATAACCTTGATAGGACTATTGGGAAGCCTACAATGTCGTCTGCTTTCCAACTTAAAATGGAATTGCATGTGTCATAGTTCAATGCTTTACCATGTCCATCATTCCTCTAATATCATCGTTTTGTTTTGCATTTTGCTTTGTTCTTGATTCTAGATCTCCCCTCAGTTGAGGTTCCAAGGAAGAAAAAGTGGCGGATTTTTGGGAACTAACACATATAAGGACGAGCCAAGCTTTCACCATTATTGTTGCTGTGGACTTGCCCAAGCTGTTCAATCGCTCGAAAGACACACCGAGTCCCCTTTGAACCATCATAATAATGTTTGCTTTCACAGCAATATAGTATCTACTAGTACTTTATATTTTAAAAAGAACATAAAAGGAAGAAGGCATTATGATACTTCTGGCCTGCCCTTGAATGTTACGAATATTCACAGCTCAAATTTTGCATACATGAAAGAATTCCAACAGGAGTGTACTGTTGTTCATGCATAATTCTTTATTGATTCAAACATAATCAATCTCAGTATTGAGAACTCTGGTTTTGTTTTCAGTGGCATAATGCAGTACATTGCATTCTGCTCAGCCAGACACTATATCTTTCAAAGGGAAAGATTAAAATAGATGTTTGTGTCTGAAGTTTGAATTGGTCAAGAATCAAGTGTGACCAACCGACCGTTGGATATGAGCCTGGAAACAGTTCTTACTGTATCAGAAGGACTGAATTTTTGAAATTTGAACAAGGTGGGTCAGTCTTCAGAGGAGACCTGCTGCAGCTTCTTTTAAGAATTAAAAATTGTCTGCCATTTTTATTCTCCTGCAAACTTACATGTCATGAATAGATGAATCGTGGGTCCATTTCGTCCATTTCAGCAGTTCTTTTGATTCTCATTGTTTCTTGGTCCACTCAACCAAAACCCAGAACCTACTTCACTCTACAATGCCGAAAAAAGAAAAAGAATTTAACTCAAAAAATTAAAGAGAAATATTTAATTTCCATTCCTGAAGAATTTACAAGGAAGAAAAGAAGGCATTTCTAAGTTCCAAGATCCATCACTTCAAGTTCTGCAATCTAGACTAAGAAAATAAAAAATACTACCCAATTATACAGATTATATATATATATATATAGCTGTACTTTCCCGTCTCTATTCATGATGCCTAATCTCTTCTTCCTCGTCTTCCACCTGCTGCCTCTCCTCCACCTCCTCTGCCGCCGTCGTTGGCTGCAACAACAACGCCGTAAATGGCATATGTTGATACCCACTTCTTCCTACAGCTGAATACTGAAACCCTACTGGTTGGCACAAGTCCAACCGACAATTCGGCGGTGGCGCCGTCATGGTATACATCCCTGCCACTACGCTGCCGCTGCCAACCCCTACTGGGTGTACCTGACACGACACAGAAGGCGGAGACGCGGAAGTCGTCGTGGGCCCGGCGGGGCAAGAGATTTCATGAGCTGCAGGGACGGTGCCCGACCCGGTAGCGGCAATGATAGAAGGCTCAGCTTGACGGAGTAGCCACTCGATGGTCTCACCGTCGGAGCGGTGGCCGAGTTCTCGCGTCAGCTGGAAGATCCGGGCTGCACAAAGGGCCGGCATCCGAACACGGCGGCCACGACCATTCACTTTGGTGTGGCGGTCTTTAGAAAGCGAAGAAACGGGTTTCCGAGTAGGGAGAGCGAGTTGGGTCTTGGGAGTCGACTCATCAGAGACCACCGAGTTAATGTTCGAGTTCTGGTGGTTGTGGTTGGCGGTGGAGAATTTGTGAAGCGCCATTTCAGAGCCCATGGAGGGTTGAGGCTAGGGTTTTAAGGAGCTTATTTGGGTTCGGAACCTTTTTGGCGTGTTTGGCGGTGTGGGATGCTACGGACCCCACAGAGAGGAAAGCGGTGTCTCTTTTAAAGGTGGCGGGGAAAGGGATCGAGGGGTGGGATTTGTCTTGACGTGAGGGTTCAGGTGACGTGTCGAGCTGGGGTTACATCCACGTTTGTGATGTGGGGTCCACTAATATGGTTAGGACGGTCCCCTTTCCTAGTTTGGGTGTGGCTGGTGGGTCCCTCTTAAGTTGATGTATGGGTGGATCCCACTTTTGGTGCATGGATTTAGATTGATGCATAAGTCTGATGTATCCTTTACCAAAATTTTTGCTTGGGTTACAATAATTGGAGCGTGATTTTGGGCCTTGATTTATTTTTGGAGCATTTTTTCTAGGAAATTGGATTTTCTTTCCTCACTTGTAACACCTATTATTCAAAATTTGAAAATATTTTTATTATTCAATAAATAACTTTTATTGATAAATTTAAATATAATGATTTTAAACATCATTAATTATTTAAGAAAATTTATATAAATTTGTATTCTTCTATTACCTTTAATTAGGTCTTTGTATTGTTATTTTATATCAAATAATCAGTTAAGAGTAATTATTTTTAATCAAAATATTCTTTGTTATAAAAATATTACATAATAACATCATTATTTTATCATGTCATATTATCATGTCCTATGACACATTAATATTATATTATATAAAATAATAAATAATATTTAATATTTTTATTAATAAAAATAAATTAATTATTGATTATAAAAATTTATTTTATTTAAAATAAAAAATATAAATACATAATTAAATTTAGTAAAAAATAAAAAAAAAATTAAATTTTTTTAAAATAAGTCAGATTTTTTAAATATCATATCATAAATTTAATTATTTAAAGAAATTTACCTTAATGAACATAAATAAAATCTATTTAAATTTTTTATAATTTTAAAATTTGAATTTTAAATTCAATTTTTATTGTAAATAAAATGCCCAAATCTAAAACTATGTTAATTTTTCACTTCTAGAAAGAGTTGAAGAGTAGGGATAAAAAAAAAAATAGGGAAGAAATAAAAAGGCCTATCGATCATGTTGCATTAAAGGATTTGAGGCGTGCGACAGACGTGGCATGGGAAACCGTGTGCTGGGAGTTTGGGAAGGTGACAGACTGTACTTTGAAACAAAACCCAGTGAGTCGTCTGACAATCGGACAGACACATTGACAACTCTTCGAATTTGCAACTCGCTCCCGGGACTCACCGCCTTGTCTCTTGCCGCCTCCGCTTCCCTCCACTGATTCTCAGATCTCAACCATAATTCCTTCTTCTTTTTTATCCTTTGGCGATCAAATCTTCACTTAATCTAATGTGATTTGACAATGACCTAATTTTCTAATTTAATTTAAGCATCGAAATGACACTTGAAAAAGGTTGAAACGATCCAAACTATTCCATCCGATCACCACATTCCCATTTTACTTACCTAAAACTCATGGTATCTAAAATAATGCTTAAATTATTTTAAATTTTTTATGTAAATTTTTATTTTTTATTATATTGAATCAAATTTTTATAATTTTATTTTTAACTAAATAAACTTTTATAACTAATCATTGATTAAAAGTTATTAATTAAAATATTATTTATTTTTTATATTACGTATTATACTAATATATCATAATAAATAATAACATGATATATTAATATAATACGATAACATGCTCTCGTAATACTTTATTAATTAGTATATAATTTTTTATTTAAAAAGTAAGATTTAAATTTTTTTTCTCTAATTAAAAAAGAACTTATATTCATAGCAGCCAACAAATCCACATGTTTGCATGTTCCGTGGTCAAGACTGATGAGACTTTTCGTTTGCTAAAAGTCTACGGTTTGAATTGATTTTCCACCAATTTGTTTCAATGTCTCCTTAAATTCAACACATTACTTCAAAAGTTTTTTCATTGCCCTCTTAATATTCTTCTCTCTCTCAAATCTCGATCTTTTCAAACAACAAAAATGGGCCCCACCATACAGTTTCGCAACACCCACAAAGCCCAACCCGAATCAGTGGTTAAGCGGTGTCCAACTTGGGCTTTATCAGCGGTATCTGAATTCACATGGGCCCAAGGAAACCTCTTTTGGACGATTATCTGTACAGGCCCCAGGCCGAATAAGGCCCAACCTCATCCATTTGAATGTTGGATTACCAAATTTGAGGCGTGGAATGGATTTTTCTCAGCAGGGCGGTGCTCAGCTTCTTCTTCTTTATCTACAGACTGCGAAGCTTAAAGCTCTAGCTTTTGAACGCACATTCTCTATAAAGCAACCAAGCAAACACACACATACCCAGAAGAACGAACCTAATAATGTGTAAGATTACGTTGTAGAGCAAAACAATAGTTACATTTCCGTCAATGGAAGCTGCAAGGAATTTGCTTTCTGCTCCTCCTACTTTTTCGACAAGAACCCAACTCAAAAGTTCTGTCTTTTCAACACCATCTTCTTCAGGTAACATTTATTTCTAGTATCGGGGACAGTTTTTTTTACTTTTGTTGTTTGTAATCATTAGTTTAATACCCAGTTTAGAATTACTCCGATAGTCTACTTGTTGTGTGGCTAGAGTGTTCGATGTTCTGTTTGTTAGATTAACTTCCTTGGGGGTTTTTTTTTTGGAAGCATTTTTGTTCTTTAAGGATATGTCGCAATGATTGTTGGTCTTAAAAATGGGAATTATGCATATGGTATGGTAGAACTGAAACTTACTGTTACTTCATTGGTCAATTTGCTTTTAAGTTAAATGCATAAATTAAACTCTTTTATATTTTCTGATATATGGTGTAGTTGTTGTATTTATATAACTTCCGGGTTTTTGATTAAATTATGTATGTTTATGGAGATATAGATAGATAGAAAACTGTCTATATGTGGTTATGCATGAATGTATGTGTTTTGCTCTCAAGTTCTTACAAATAATGATATTTAAGTTATGAATGACAATATATGTATCAATTATGCAGTTTTGATGTTTCATGAGCAAGCAGCTCCTTCAGCAACTTCTATTTCGATTACTTCTGTAGCTAGGCATTTTCCTACATCAGTTCTTTTACAAGAGCAGCGTGATGACTATAGACCTCTGCCTGTCTTGCACTTCTTTAAGGAAGATAAAGCATACCCGGTGAGATTGTTGTTTTATCTATGCAGAACATATACAGAAACGCAGACTTACCTTTTATGTTCTTTTTGTGGTCATTTTGTTAATATCTTTTCTCAATATTTGTTTGGAAACTCCTTACTTAGATATCATTATTTACTTGATTACAGGGAGCAACAGACAAACAGCAGATTGAGAATGGGCCATCACTTAATGAAGAGAAGGCCTCCTACAACTTTGGCGAGTTGGGATTTGAAAAGAAATTGCTCCAGTGGCCTGATTTAACGCAATTGTAAATGAACTAAATCTCATCTATTGATTTCTTCCGGCATGAAATATCCCTGTGACTGTAATCTCTTTCCCCCTGAATTCCAGCCTCATGTACTGCTTTAATTGTTTTTTTCAATCTCAGATTGTCACTTTTGGAATCAGAGGAGAATCCATTATCTACTTCGAATATGCAGTTTGTTGCAACTGATACCAAGGAGATTATGGATGTTGAACCAAGTAATATAGTTGCCCTTGCTAAGAAGGCTTTGTCAGCATCTAAACAAGCTGCATCATTGGCTGAGGACCTCAAATTAGATCTTGATGATTCACTTTCTAATAGGTTAGTTTCTATATTGTCTTCCTAGTTTTATTCATATTCTAGGTTAATCCGTTGAGGACTGATATCTAATGCTATTGCAGTTTGGGGTCTGCTAATTCGTCTACTTTGCCAGTTGAGGAGGAGGAAGTAGTTACTGTTAGGTCAACCAGACGTTTAGAGAGACAGTCTAAACGAAGGAGGGTGCAACCTAAAGTTACAATTCGTGAGACCTACAGTTCACGAAGGACGGATGTAAGAAGAAAGTTGAGTAAAGGCTTTGATCCTAATGATTCCCTTCGATTGTTCTTGTGGGGTCCTGAGACAAAACAACTCTTGACTGCTAAAGAAGAGTCTGAATTGAGTAATCAAGTACAGGTACCTTTTTCAATCCTGCCTTAAAGCATGGAAATAAGGAATTTTTTGTTTGTTAAATGCCTTATTCATGGTGCTTGTAACACCTACAGGATTTGATGAGATTAGAGAAGGTGAAGAGTAAGCTTCAATCTCAGTTCGGGCGTGAACCAACCTTGGTTGAATGGGCTGAAGCCACAGGTCTTAGTTGTTCAGCCTTGCAGGCAGAACTCCACTCTGGAAACAGCAGTCGGGATAAATTGATCTATGCGAATTTGCGCATGGTGGTTCACATTGCTAAACAATATCAGGGCCGTGGTCTTAGCCTTCAGGATCTGCTGCAGGAGGGAAGTATGGGTCTTATGAAAAGTGTTGAGAGGTTCAAACCACAAGTTGGATGCCGATTTGCCACCTATGCCTATTGGTGGATAAGGCAAACAATTAGGAAGTCCATAATGCAACATTCCAGAACCATTCGTTTGCCGGTACTTATAATTTTCATCTCTTTCTAATTTCTAATTTCAAAAATGAAGTTTATGCTTGCTGGCATGTATGCCACCTACACATGGAGCCACGTTATGTTTGAAAATATGCAGTCTGTCCCATTGCATTCTAGTTCTTTACCAACATGATAATGTTGGAGAGGACCATATCTCTTAAAGTAGCTGGAAATCTTATAAGTTTATCATATATGTTTTAGTCAGACACATTTTTATTATATTATTGAGATATATTATACAAGTGAAGAACCTATATATTGTTCTCAGGAGAGTGTGCATACCCTTTTGAGCAAAGTATTGGATGCAAAAAAATCATACATTCGAGAAGGAAATCATTGTCCTTCCAAAGAAGAACTAGCAAGACATGTTGGAATTACAGTTGAGAAGTTGGATAAGTTGCTATTCACAACAAGGATGCCACTTTCTATGCAACAATCTGTGTGGGCGGACCAGGATACCACCTTTCAGGTAATGCTTTCATTTTACCTTGATTCCCATGTGGTAGGATTTATTGATTAAAAATGTGAATTTGACCAAATACAGGGAAATTGTGGTGCAACAAGGATGCCACTCATTTACAAATTTTAAAGAATTTCCTAAATATGTAGCTTTAAACCCGGCCATCCTATACTAATTCTTGGTTCTTGTCGTGGTCACAGGAGGTAACGCCAGATACTGGTATTGAGATCCCAGATGTTAGTGTGGCAAAGCAACTGATGAGGCAGCATGTGCGCAACCTTCTAAGTGTTCTCAGCCCGAAAGAAAGGAGGATAATCAGGCTAAGGTTTGGTATTGAAGAAAGCAAGGAGAATTCTCTGTCTGAGATAGGAAACATGTTCGGATTATCTAAGGAAAGGGTGAGGCAGCTAGAGAGCCGGGCGTTATACAAGCTCAAGCAATGCCTCAACAAACATGGACTTGGTGCATATGTAGATTTGCTTGTTTAGATATTGAAACACAGACATATTCTCTTTAGATTCATCGGTTCATCCAAGGGCAAGAGTGAAATCCGTTAAGCTTATGGCAGCTGAAGGGTATGGCCTAAAGCCTTCAACCGCTTAAAATGCTTCCACATTGTAATCTGACAATGATGTTTTTTTGTTAATAAAATAAATTGTATCCCTGTAGTGTAGTCTTACGTATAAATAGCTGAGTTTTAAACCAAATTCCTAAATTTAAAAAATTCAAGTAAAAAAGTGATAGTTCAAAAAAAAGTTAAATTATGTACGAACATTGTATTTTCTTATTAATGTGGTATTGAATATGATGATTTATTAAACATGATGTGTTATTTTTATTTGTTTTATAATATATTTTTACTGTTTTAAATTATGAGGCACATAAATTTAATTTTTCTCTTTCGACAACACTCTTTCTTTAAATTCTAAAAACCTATTTATTTTTTTGATTTGTTTGTTTTTCATTTCTGTTTAAAATCATTGGCTCATATTGGATAATTTTATATTCATATTGTAATCTCATCATATTCAATATCATATTAATTAGAAAATAACACATCCATATTAATATAAATAATAAATTTTTTTAATCTATTGAAAAGATATTGTCTATTTTGAAAAGTATATAATTCTATTTTTATAAATTATTATATAAAGATTAAATTTACCCTTTTTATAGAATGAAAAAACTAATGGTATAATCTGACTTTTATAAAACAAAAAAATGGAGAGGAAACGACGTCGGTTGGAGGACTGAAAGGGGGCGGACAGAGCTCCCGTCAAGAACATAAAGAGCTCTAGGGAGGGAGAAATCAAACAGGAGTAGATCTCAAAACAAGCTCATGTAAATTCCTATCATTGAATAGCGATGTCAACTGAAAAACTCTCCCAAATATTGAAGGAAGCCGTCTCCAGTAACCGAACTTCACTAACAAACCAAAAAACAGCAGCAAAAATCAGTACAATCCTCATAAAATCCGGCATTAAACCCTTTAAAACCAACCCATCTCTGCTCTCTAATCTCGACTCAAACGTAACCAGCCTCGTTCTCTCAAACCCAAATCTCCCTCTTCATTCTTGTACCCTCTTCTTCAACTTTTTAAAAACAAACCTTTCTCTTACTTCCCAAAAACCCAGTCTTAAAACGCATATAACCATCATTCTAAGACTGTACAAAGCTGGAAAATTCAAAGAAATAAAAGAAGTATTGAAGTTTATCATCTTTGATGATAATCTTAGATACCCAGTTGAGGAAATGATTTCTCTAGTTGGTTTCGAGTGTAACGACTCAAACTTTCTTGAAAAGTTTTGTGACTTGTATTTTAGAGTTTGTGTAGATAACAAAATGTTTGAAGAGGCAAATGGGGTTTTCGGCTACATGGAGAAAATGGGTTTTAAGATTGATGAAAGGTCTTGCATTATGTATTTGATCGCATTGAAGAAGTGTGATAAAGGTGATTCAATTTTGGGGGTTTTTAGAAGAATGGTTGAGTCTGGTGTGGAAGTCAGTGTTTATTCTATGACAATTGCGATTGATGGACTGTGTAATAGAGGGGAAGTTGAGAAAGGTAGAGAGTTGATGAATGAAATGGTTAATAAAGGGGTTAAAGCTAATGTTATTACTTATAATACAATTTTAAATGCATACATTAAAAGGAAGGATTTTGGGGTTGTTACTGAGGTTTTGAGGTTGATGGAGAAGGAGAATGTGGAGTATAATGCAGCCACATATACTATTTTGATTGAGTATTTAGGAATTGTTGGTAAGCATGAAGATGTTGAGAAGCTGTTTGATGAAATGCGTGAGAGAAGGGTGGAAATGGATGTTCATCTTTACACTTCTATGATTAGTTGGCACTGTAGAAGAGGGAATATTAAGAGGGCTGTTTCGTTGTTTGATGACTTGACTGAGAAAGGCCTTGTTCCGAATGCACATGTTTATGGCGCTTTAATTGATGGTCTCTGCAAGACTGATCAGATGGAGGCAGCTCAGATGATGGTAAATGATATGCAAAGTCAAGGGATTGATGTAAATCAGGTGGTATTTAATACACTTCTACATGGGTATTGCAGAAAGGGGATGATGGATGATGCTTTGAGTCTACTGGCTGCGATGGAGAAGAAAGGGTTGCAGCCTGATGTGTTTACTTACAACACAATCGCTAGTGGGATGAGTAAATTGAAACGACATGAGGACGCAAAGAGATGGTTGTTCATGATGGTAGAAAAGGGAGTTACTCCTAACGCCGTCAACTTCACTACTTTGATTGATATTCACTGCAAAGAAGGGAACTTTGTCGAGGCAAAGAGGCTATTTCAACAGATGGAGACAAGGGGAGAGAGGCCTGATACCATTACACACAATGCTCTCATTGATGGATATACCAAGAAGGGGAAACTGAAGGATGCTTATAAGCTAAGGGATGAGATGGAAGCCAAGGGGAGAATTCCAGACGTATACACATACACATCACTTGTGCATGGTGAATGTATCTTTGGAAAGGTAGATGAGGCAATGAGACTGTTTAATGAAATGCATCAGAGGGGTCTAGTTCCAAATGTAGTCACCTATACAGCAATTATTTCAGGGTTGTCTAAGGAAGGCAGATCAGATGAAGCTTTTAGATTGTACAATGAGATGATCAATGTGGGCCATATGCCTGATCAAAGAGTTTATAGCTCACTTGTGGGTAGCCTTCATACAGTCAGGGGCCAATAGTTCTGATTGCACTTAATGTTTGCTTCAATTGTGGTGATTGGACGGTCCTTGACCTTGCTGTTCTTTTTCTAGTGGTATGTAGTTTAGACGTCACAATATGCAGCTTGGTGCTAACAAAATCTCAACCTATCTTCTGGATGACGTATATTACCATCCGGATGCCAGGACTTTAACCAAAGACCATTCTTGTTGAAGAAAAATGCGTGTGAACGGATATACTTGCCAAATCATGTTGCCCAGTATAGTTTGAAAGCAAGCACAGCGGAACTTGAGGTTAGTTCAAAACAAATGCATGTGGGATTTTCATTTTAGAAACTTGTTAAGGTGGCTAGTATTGTCAGTCTTTGGGTTCTGCTGCAGGCTTCATTGGGATGTTGGTCATCACATCCTGCTGCCATGGATGCTGCACCTGGGAAGTACTTGTTAACAGTGGGCAATCAAATTATATGGCTTTGGAATCCATGCAAGTTTGTGTCCTTATTGACCTCTATCGTTTATGTGACTAAATTATATGCAGCTTGGATTGCATTAGACTTGATGTTTTTGCTGAAGAGTGTTTGCTTGCTGAGAGAAGTAAGTTCAGTAGATGAGGAGGATCTGAGAGAAACAGAAACACCAAATTTTATTATGAATTTCTCATGGTTGTAATTGCTTACCCATAAACAAGATTCACCCCGTTCTCAGGCACTAATTATGTGTAGATGGTTCGATAGTGGAAACTGCTACACTATAGATGAAGCTATTCCCAAGTATGTTTGTCTGTTTTAGCCTCTTCACTTCTACACCCTCCTTCTAGGCAGCAAGGTGTAAGTTGGGGTGCCTGAATAACCAAAGTCTTTATACAGAGGAATTGAACTTGAGCCGTGTAATAGTCTAATGGAGAACCTTAGGTAGCTCCATTCTCATGTGTGAATCAAGATAGAAGATCCTTTTATCTTTTTGAAACTGCAGTGAAGACCTTGCTTATGATATTTTTTGTATTGCCACCTGATACGACAGACAAAATGATGATGACTGCAAATCACTCACGGAAGGAAGTTGCAGAGGATGTTGAGGATGCTGTACTAACTTTGGTGAATAAGTATTATATATCTGTTTCAGGAAATGTCTAAGCTTTCAAAAGATTCTAAAGGATAGGAACTGTCAGTTGCTCATCTGTGATTAGGTATGACAGACAGGAGGGATCATGAGATGAATGACCCTGGAACCACAGAAGGAATGGGATGCCTCCTAAGGGTGTACTCTAAAAGGCAAGCTGATGAACTTATCTATAACTTTGTCTAACAAAAATTGGCATTTTAGACTTGCTTCGTTGGTCTTACTCAACCTGCATATTGCAAATGTGTATGAAATTTTGTCCTGGAGCTCCTAGTGTACATGTATTTCAATGAAGGTCCTTTTTTTTTTCCGGATAATTTCCCTGAAGGGCCTTATGTTAGCATATATATAACTAGTTATTACCGCTGCTGCTATTTCTGTCTTTGTGACGTGTAAAAACTTGATGCAGTACTATCAGAATCAGTGGTTTTTGTTTGTGGTCAGTCCTCAGAAAACCTATATTCAATTAAACCACATTGAGTAGTTATTAAACGTACTTAAGGCATCTGTGTGAGGTTAATTCTGTTCCTAAGCTGATGTATGGCAGTCAAGGCTGCTTTCTGCAATCATTTTGGTTCTGGTAAGAATTGTTAATTTGGTATAGTTTCGCAGCGGACTAGCTTCATCGCAGTTCCAGAAGTCTTAAGACATTTGGGAATTGATTCAGCGTCAGCATCTTAGCTCTTGTAGCCATGTTGATGTTTCAAGGAACAGACCAGCTGGTGAAATTGTACAGAGGTATCTGTTTCTGGTCTGTGATCTAACTCATATAAAAAGTGTATCTTACGCTGAAATTCGGAGCATTTTGCAGTTCATACATATAGAGCTATATACAAGAGTGTAGAATAATTGAATAATAATAATATGACCACAAGTTAGTCAAATTATACTTTAACAGTCGGACTTGCTTATCAAAGTATTTCGTAAATTTGCAGCAAAAGCTTATCTGGGGTCTATTCAAAGATTTAACTGAACGGCACATCAAAGAGCCAAAGATCTGGCCTTTCCTTATTGGCCAGTGATCTTGGTTAGATCTACGACCTTTCTCACAAAACTGCAGATCATCAAGTATCCAGTGTCTTTACATTTTCTGATTATATGCACCTCTTCTAAGTTTAAGCAAAACTCTCTACGGTCTTCACAAAAAAATGCGCGGCATAACCATCCCAGCTCCATGTCTTCTTCTTTTCCCTTCATGTCACCAGGTCACCTTATCCCCATGATCGACATGGCCAGACTCGTTGCCACCCATAGCTCCAAGGCCACCGTAATCACCACCCCACGAAACATATATCTCCCGCTTCCAAACATTCCTCAACCGAGACCATCAATCTGGTAACCTCCATATCAACCTCCAGACATTATATTTGCATTTCTCCGCCGTAGACCTACTTGAAACTAGTGGGACCCTTGACTCACTTTCATCAAGATACCTTTCGTACAATTTCAGCAGAGCAATCATGACGCTGCAGCTTCAGGCCGATGACCTTATCTCTCAATACAAACCTGATGCCATCATATCTGACCAAAATATCCCGTGGACGGCTGAGATTGCCCAAAATTACGGTATCCCACGTCTAGTTTTCCATGGGACATGCTGCTTGAATCTCTCTTTGCTTAACGATTGCAGCTAGCCAGAGTAAGCAAAAGCTAAGTGTGAACTCAGAGACCGAGTCCTTTCTAGTTTCTAGTACCTCGTTTACCTGACCCTGTTTATTCACCAAGTCTCGCATGCCAGACCGGTTCTTTGGCAACTTGGGGTTAAATGATTTTTATGGTAAGTTCACAAAAGCTGGGCGAAACACATACGCTACTGTGGCTAACACCTTCCATGAGATTGAACCAGAATAAATCAAACACTAGGAGAAAATAAATGGAAAACGAATATACCCAGTTTCATTCTTCAATACAATGGATCTTGAATAACAGAGAGAGGAAACAAAGCTTCCACAGATAAAGACCTAGTGTCTCTTATGGCTCGACTCGAAAGAACCTAATTCTGTACTTTATGTTTGCTTTGGGAGTTTATGTGAGTTTGCTGAGCCACAGCTTTTGGAGATAGCTTTTGGCCTTGCAGCTTCAAGGTTTCTTTCATTTGGGTTATCAACGATGATAAAGGTCACATCTTTGAATAAAAAGTTAAAAGATAGAGGCCTTATTGTAAATGGTTGGACTCCTGAGATTCTTATATTGAACCACCCAGCAGTTGGTGGAATATTCATGACTCACTGTGGGTGGAACTCAGTGTTGGAATCGGCGAGTTCAGGTGTGCCACTCATTATTCTTGTTTTTAATTTTTCTTCGACGTAATTATAAAACATATATAGTAATCTTTCTCAAGCTAGATTGATATGAGAAAATAGCAAAGATATGGTTACTCATATTTCTTGCATCAAATATAAATCGAGTGTCAAATATTCTCTGTGTCCCAACCAATGAGACCTTTATTACATTATGTAAGAAGCTGTTTTCTTGTCGACAAAAAGTGGTTGCAATCAAAGCTTTTTGAGAATTTCAACTAGATGAACATGTCAGATTCTACATGAACAAGTCAGACGTGGAAGAGAGGTCTCCAACCTACCCATTGATTGTGACTTAACAACAGGCTTCGTGGATGTAGAACAGTAGAAGGCATCTCTTGTCATTATCAAAAGTATTTCTCATTTCGAAGTCTTTTTTCTTTTTCTCCATAGATATTAAGCATCTATGTTCCTCTGAAGTTTTGAAGTAAGCGCCACCTGTCACCTAGCATTATAAGTTTCTTCTCTTCTGAGAACAATTTTTACCTTCTAAATAAAAAATCAACCAGGTTCAAATTTAACCTGAAGTTCATGACCTTCTGAAATTTCGGAAATGCAGCATTTTTAGAATGGAAAGTCATTATTACCCATTTCCTGAGACAAGTTAGAGAATGAAAATAGTACTGATCAGTTTTGGTTCTCCAGGCAAATGTTGGCAGAGACATTAATTGTTAGATATCATAACATGTCAAAAAGTACACAACATTGTTAGGTGAGCAGATCATGCAATAATTGATTTCTTATTTGCACCAGATATAGTTTCCTGGATAAATCAAATCCTTAAAATGGTTCAGTCTTTACTTAAAATCAAGAATAATATATATAGTTGCAGACACTGGAATCATGATCTTAATGAGCACAAAGACAGCAACCATTACAAAATCACAAGGCCTTCTCATCAGAGATAGAGAACATGTATCTAAAAATTCCATGCAGAAATGAACAAAGGATTAAGCTCATTTCAATCAGTCTGCATTTTTAAAAGGTGTAAAATACCCTTTAAAACCCCATCTTGTTGCTCTTTGATCATAGCATTAATTCTATTTGACATAGGTAAAGTCAAAATTACTAGCCATACAAATATTACACTCACTTTATCAGCAAATCGTCTATAAGTTGAGGGACTGCCCACAAGAAGTGGAAAAGAAAAGAAATATTTAGGGTTGAAAGACTATAACAATTCAGGTTTAAATGTTGAACTCTTTATGTTTGGCAGTCCAAACCAATAACATGTCGAAGAAGAAAACAGAAAACACAATAAGACTTTAAAATACATATAGAATGCATGAAATAATTTTAAGGGTAGGATTAAAGGAGGAACCATATATATGAATCAGAAAAACTAGGTACTACATGAACACATATACTGCTTTGTTCTTTCTGTCTATGTATGTAAGAAGTAGAACCCAAATCCCGTTTGGATTTGTTCCTTAGTTAAGGAAGCAGAAGATAGTAATATATGAATCAGACATATGACGTTGATTAATAAAATAGTCCCCTTTCACTTTAAATATCCTCTCTCTACATATTGGAAATTAAAGGTCCATATATATTGGCCCAAAAAATAGTAATATATGGAAGGGGAGATATCATTAATTGTGATATATAATCAATGTTGGGAATTTTTTTTTCTCAATCAATCAAAGATTTTATTGATAATGAATATGATTATAAAAGGTAGCAACTGCTACTCAGAGAGAGAAACAGTGGCGTTGTCTGTTAAACGGACTAAAACAAGATGACTCTTATCAAAAAAGGTCTCCACATCATGAAACAGAAAACAAGTAGAGCAAACTAAGACAGAAAAAAATTTGATCAAAGATGAAGGGATGCCCCCTATCCTCTGTATTGTGATAGCATCAAAGCAAAAACAAACATACAATAAATGAAAAGGAGCAAATTATGTGAAGAGAACATACTTAAAAGCAGATTGCAATAGTCATCACCACCAAGCAGAAAAAGTAAAATTCCTGTCAACCCCATACTTGGCTAAGGAATTTGCTAAGATATTACCTTCCCTTAGAATGTGTGAGAGAGTCACATGACCAAGTGAGTGTAGGAAAACGTCAATTTCATTTAAGACATGTCAAAAATTTCAAGGTTGCTGTGATTCATTATTAATCCATGAGAGAGTAATCTTTAAGTCAAATTCGATGATCAAGTTAGACCCGTTATAAGGAGATGAGGCAACAAAGCTCAAAGCATAAAGGATGGCCATAAGCTTAGCAAAGTTAGACTCTTGGCAACCAAGCAGGCCGAAGAAAACCCCAACAACAAATCCGTCGGAATTCCTAAGGACACCACCACAATCGGTCAGCCTTCGTTTATCTTTAGTAGAGCTGTCAACATTGAATTTGAGATCACTATCCTTGGGGAGCTGCCATGAGACGCCTAGTGTGTATATAGGAGTCGATGAGAGTAGATAATAACATAGGAGAAGACATGTGTGCACATAGTTAAGTATAATGAGAGTAGATGGTAAAGAATACCCAAAAAGTGAGAAAAAAAAATGATGTATGTAATTATTATATAGATATATTTCATCCTTCCATCATAAGTCAGGATTTGGCTACTAGAGTTTACAAAAAGTAAACATAATTTATGTCAACATGTAGTGGAAACATATTTGAATTATAAGAAATATTTGTTAAGCAAATGAATATTATTCCATGTTTAGTGCTTCAAAGTTGGTGTACTTATACTAATACTAGTACTGCTACTGCAGAAGCAATCTTAAACAAGTCTTGAAGATTTGGATGGCAAATTAAGGGCATCTCACCTGGAGTAGCAGCAATTAACGGTTGGAATGTGCAATCAGCTGTAAACCACGGAAGCAACTCTAGGAAGGTGCCAATGAACAGCATGATTGACAGATGAACAGAGAGGACCATCAATTAAAATTTTTGCAGCGCAGCAGAGAGATCAGATCAGATCAGAAAGGTTGCCCCACTGATCTCAGTGGATGATGAATGGGGAGATAGTACCAAGGACGACATTGATGGCATGCATAATTACAATGAAAAAGGTTTCTAGAAACAGAAAAACTCATTTGTTCATAAAAATCTTGATATAAACCAATTAGAAAATCATGAACCTTCAAAAGTAAGGTATGGGGTTAATACCTGGGAATTTAAGATTATCATCACTTTGTTTTGATGCTTATAAGAAGAAAGGATTATGATTGATATATATATATATATATATATCTAGCTACATCAGTATCGGCCGAATGCAAAAAACTTGAATCAAATAATTAACCATTATATTATGCAGTAAGTTACAGATATGTAGAGTGAGTGAGAGCAAAGTCTTCTCACTTTATTATTCCTGATAATTACAGGCTTAGATGTTTCTAACTCCAAGGCCAGTGAGATTTCAATCCCATCTTCATGATGCCAAGCTTCAACTCGTCCATCTGCCATTCAAATTTATATACTCACTTGAAAAGAACATAAATCCTGAATCAACAAGCAAAAGAAAGAAACATACCTAGGAAGGATTAGATTTAGATCCAAGTGGTATATATACCGCCAATAGATACCCTTTGAATTTATTGGTAATATTGGGAGAGAAACCACCATGTTGGGATGGAAAGGAGAAGAAGCCGATCAAAGTTCTCCATCTAGCCATTCATTGCCAATGCAGCATCATCAGGATTCTCAGGCCAAAACCATATAATATATATATACATATATATATGTACGTTGCATGTGAATCTTGATGATGCCACATTTGCAAACAACGACTGCCTCTCGATTTGTGCACAAAAATTAACCAAAAGAAGAATCTATAGATTAAATTTTATCAACTAGCTGTAGCCAGATTAATTAAAACTTGTTTCTATAGATTGGAAATACCAATTCCTTATGTAAAAACACCATGCACCAGGCAAAGTTGAGATAGAGATAACTAGTATAAATATAAAGCTCCATGGATTAGATCTTAGTCTAGAGGAATATTAAGAACGTACCCTAAGAGAAAACCCTAATTTAATCAACCAAAATGATTAAATTCAAGAAAAAACAAAAGAAAAATACTTACTTAAAATGCAGACTATATTTCAATGCTGCCAATTACAATTCATGAAGTGCCACATGAAATTTAGACATATAGATCTGACTCTACCATATATCTATAAATCTGAAAAAAGACTCAATGTTGCTATTTGAAAACCTATTAAGATTCAAAAGAAGAGAAAAGGAAAGACCAGAGAACACAGGCTGTTGTGAAGTAGAAAGAGCAAAGACAAAGCAAAGCATAATGAAAGGAACAAAGGAAAGAATAACACTAGACTGGTTTTGATCACGAAAATTGAGTATCAGGGTTGAAGCTAGCTATAGCTTCTTCTGTGTGCGTGTGAAGGAGAGAGAAAGAGAGAGCGTGAAGTGAACCTAGACCAATATTATTGGACCCTGAACAGTGGAGAGGACATATCATATGTATGCAATGCTTCATGTCGTGTCCCAATAGAAACTTGCCGTGTCAACAAAGCTATTACCATAAAACAACAATAATTATTGATAATTAATAATTACCGTATACTCATTACAAATTTCTTGATAACGGCCTGTTGGATTAATATGCCTTTATTCTCCACCACTTGAACACAACTTGTCATTTGCTTTCAATGGAGTTAAACAGCCTTTTAGCCCTCTTGGATTAATTCAATCATAATCATCATATTATATATATATATATATATA